TCGGCTTCAGGGTTAAATTGGACTTGGCTTTCAAATTTTTGGGTTCTTTCAGGTAAATTTCGGTCCTTCGATCGTTCGCCTCCGAGCCAAGAGTTAAGTCTGGCGCACGTGGTCCTCCCACGGGGCAGGCAGGAAAAAGTTTGAGACCACCCTTGAATCAATTCCAAGTCTCAGCCAAGAAGTTTCGTTCTAAGGCGCGGGGCAGACGACTTGGACGAGGCTTTGGGCTTCCTAGGTAAATCGCAACAGCTACTGCAGCTTGCAGACCACTGACATTTGGAAATGAGAGGGTTCGCAGCAGTGACCCACGGGGAGTGCTGGACCTGGTCACGGAGCACTAGAGAAGTGCCTGGCCTTTTGGCAGGTATGGTTTCGTAAACCAGAGCCGGGCAAACCATCTCGTCAAAGTCCCTGATGCCCCTTTGCGCTGAGTGCAGTGCATGAGACCCGTCAGAGTCTTTGTCGAGTGTATAGAACGAGTTTGCACGTCGAAGACAGCCATTCGTTTCTGTCGGACACGGAGGCTTGTGCTCAGGAAGAAAGACTGTGAACACTTTCGTCAGACGAAGACGCTGGGTGCCGGCGTACACGAAGCTCAGAACTCAATAGCCGCAGCCATTCTGCCCAAGGTTGAGTCCCAACAGACCAAAGACTCTATCAACAAGGTGTTTCTGCAGTGTATGAGCACACCAAACTCCAACAGCAGAAGAAGCTAGCAGAAGCTGAAGTCTCAAGCCGTCGTAAGCCCTTGTTGTATCTGATGTTGCGTCAATTTAGAAAGACAGACGTCAAAGAAGGTCGCGAGGCGATGGAGCCACCCCGACTCACTCCCTCGAACTCGAAACAAAGCAGGTGCTGCTCAGACACTCTGCTTTGTGTGGCAAAGGTGTCCAGACGCCCCAGCTTGGACTCGGCTATCCCCAGTTGACTCAGTTGAGCTACGAACTTGGCCAGCGATGTGTGTGTACTGTAGTGTGCATCCCGGGCCTAGGCAGGCATTACCCGCTGCAATGCTGAGCTGTGTACTTTCGGAGCTGTGTGGATGCTGTTGACACTTACAAGTCGAAACCGTTCTGCCCGACCTGTCAGGGACGATGCGAGCCTGGGCGTTGATCGGACTGCTGTAGAGGCGAGCCTGACAGGAGGATTGCAGGTGGAATCTCGACAATCACACAGATCCAGGTCCAGAGCAGTCAATAGGTTCAACACATTGTAAGTCAAGCTATGCTCAGGAAACACCCTGAATGAAGCTCCGGCAACACCCTAGACTCAACAATCCGTTTCCTGATGCAAAACTCTTTGCATTGTGGCGCAGTATCCCAAACACTTCTGCGAGAGTTCGACTCAATTTGCCTGTTCGCCGCGAAGTCGGTCACAGCTGGACCAAGCCAGCATCAGTAATCTTGGCAAAGGAGTGAGGGCAACCGGCAGATGCATCTGCACACGAATTTCGGGAGCACGCGCGAGAGCGATTAAGCGCGGCGGCCTTGCTCAACACAAACAAGAAGAAGAGGGGTTCATCGTTTTATATCGCTTCGAGCAGCAACGTCTTGATTGCGAAAAGCAAGAGATTCCTTTGTTAGGAGTAGGCGTGCAGATTGGCATAGTCGCATTCTCTAGAACAGTTACAAGATGCACCGGACATCAAAGTGAAGGTGCGATGCTCACTTGTTAGGGTTGATTGCGCTCAGCTCACCTCGTGCCAAACCCGTTTCAAGCTGTCCGAGAACCGAGAACCTCATGTGGCGAGTCGTGTCAGAGCGTAATAAACGATGCCCTGACAGCGAATCCGGTTTTGAGTTGAAAGCACAAACACGTCTGTCTGCGGAAGTCCAGCACACCTCTTAAAGTCAGAGAAACAGGCATTGAGAAGAGACTGGCATTTCGGGAAGGCTCAGATGGGCGAGTGGGCTACGTATGGAGCACAGCACTGCCCTCGGATCCAGCCTGGGAACTGAATTGGCCCCATCTTGGACCAGGGGTACTTCAACTATGGCTTGCAGATGGCTTCTACTGATTCCATCGACTACCAAGTTCAAGCGTCTCGGGCTCTGGACCAGCGATCAGGGGCCTTTAACAGCAGTTCAGCACTCTTGGGCTTCAGGCGTGTCTTGTGGAAAGCCAGAAACTTGCGGTCGCGGTTTCGGTGCACCCTCTGGAGTCACCCACGACTATTAAGCCAAGCGAGGTAAGCCCATCTTCTTGTAGCAGCAAGACCCGGATTGGTACCCTGCGAAATTCAAATTTGCAGACACGGGACTTTTGCCATACATGTCGGTGTCAGATGCATGGTGAGGCTTCGTGCCTGGGTTGGCCTCCAAGTGGACGAGCCTTGGCTAAATTCGGCAACTCCACAGCGCTTTGCGGCTGCCTGCCTCTGCTAGGCCCCTCGGCTCTGCCCGGAGGCATGTCCACATACCGCATACCCGCGCTTTGCAGCTGGAGCCGAGGAGCAGCTGTCGCGGCGGGTGCCAGGATGCTCAGTTCTGGATCGAAGCGACTCGAAGTGCTTTGGGCCATGATTTACAGAGATCAGAACCGGTTCAAGCTGCCCTGCTTTGAAGGCCTGGCTTGATGGATGCCACCTCCCCAGCTGCAGACTACAGGTTTCTGTGGCTTTCCTTGCCGAGAGCTTCGAAAGGTCCAAGGTCCAAGGTTTTCAATTCGGAGAAGTCGCAGCAAATCAAGCTCGTGGCCTTTGTCGCGCCTTCCGGGTGTATAATCATGCGCTTTGTGCCGCTTCGTCTGCACGTGGAAGGTTTGCTTGAATACAGTACCTCGCAATTTCGCCGCCGGAGTTCATCTCGATCATTCCTGGACTGTATATTGCACATTTGTTGTGGGACTCCAGGATTTCCCGAACATCTGCTGCGACTCCGTGCCGTGCTTTCTTCACGTCCGCGGAACCGGTACCATCTATGAAATTCCTCCGCAGGTCGCTGTGCATGCTTGGAGTGGCCTTGCAAGCTACACAGCCTAAGCCTACATCACCCAGACTTTTTGCAGGCAACGTGATAAGAGGTATAGAAGAGCTTTGCCTGCGTGATGTTCAAAACGGCAGCACAAGGCACTACCCTAGTCCGACCGTCAGGTGGGTAAACCTCCCGTTCCGTGTTCACCCTGTCGTGTCAGTCTGCAGGCATACTCGCCCAGCTCCAGTCAGTGCAGCCCCAGTGTCCGCCGCATCCTCTCCGTCAGAGCCGATGGAGAACTCCTCGACATGCCATGGCTGCCATGACACCTGAAAACAGGGAACCCGCTGCCAGCTCCTTTGAACGAGCAATCGAATTTCTGGTCCACTGCTCTACCGGTAGCCTCTCGGTGGACGGGCGCCCGCTCTGCCGCTCCCGCTCTGAAGCCGATGAGTTGGGCTTTGAAGATCACACCAGAATACTGGAGTTCCGACGGTTTGTTTCATTTACTTTGCCACCCACACTAATCTTTGTGGTGCAGCCGGAGAGAGCTTAACAGTTTTCGTCTGTGGTGTTCTGTGAGGCATGCTGGAGTATTTGAATGGCTGAGGTATGTGAATAGCTTAAAGAATCGTGAAAACTCGTTGCATGATGCCCTTTCGCTCAGCTCCGTCACACCGGGCAGTGCTAAGTTGCTTCCGAAGACAACCATCCATTGCTCTGCGCGGCACAGAAGGCTTCAGGCACCCGCACACGGGGTACAGAAGAGCAATGCGCAACATGCTGCACACTGCCAGACTCTCCGAGGTGCCCATGATCACTCTGATCACTCGCTTTGCTGTTCGGCTCAGCTTCCTGCATGCGTGCCCTCGAAATATCCTGGGGCTACAATCATGAGGTGCATGCCAAAACTCCGGCACAGTATGGCATAGTGAGAAGAAACTACAAGAGCCTTTCCAGGGCTGCCCGACCAGGCTTTGGTGCTCCCAGACGGTTCGTCCTTCCTCCATCTAGGACGGCAATCAACAAAGCGTTGCAACGCTGAAAGCATGGACAACGGACACCGGGCTTTCCGGCAAAGCTCGACACATCATTGACCTACGATCATGCAGGACCTCAATGCCGCTTTTAAGTTTGAAAGATGTTACAGGACGCCCGCTTCTCCGCCCGTGCATGTGCGTGCGTGTGCGTGTGCGCATTCGTGTTTGTTTGCCTGAGTTTCTCGGTATGTGCGTTTGCCTTTGTCGCTGGCCTGTTTCGGTTTCCATGTTATGGACCGACGGTCGCCCAAAACAGGCTGTGCAGCCCATCAAAGTCTCACCAGAGTGCCAAAAGAGAGGCAGGAGACTATGGCAATCAAAGAAAACAGAAGCAGGAAGCAGCCACTCAACTAGCTAGCCTGGCAACAACAAGCCCGAGAACTCAATACCAAGCAAAAATGTCAAACTCAATTGTCAACATTCCTTCCAAAAGCAACCCTGCAATGTGAGCAGCGTCTTTGAGGCCGGAGGAAAAACGCAGTGCCGCATAGGATTGACACGAAGTATTGAGCAAGGATGTCGTCAGTGTGCATTGATAGTCAGGGACATCCCTGATTACCCAGTAACAGGCTTTGCGCTCCAAGAGTTCGTTTCCGAGGCCAGGTTATCTCCGATTTCCGAAGCCTTGCTGGACCTCAAGCGCCAGGGCCCCGGTCCAGAAACTGCCGTAAACCATGCGTCCCTTTTCTGAGCTGACATGCGGTTGAAGGGGGTCCGGGTACCGGCATGGCAAATTTTGTCTGGATGTTGCCATCCTCTTGAATTCAACGCTCTCTTTTGGCAGACTCGTTGAGTGCTGAATGGGACCCAGCGCAGCAAGCCTTTTCGGCCCCCCGCAGCATGGCAGAAAAATTACGGTCCGTCGCAGGAGAACACTAAGACAAGCTATATTGTGCGTGACGATGATGCCGGTTTTCCTACATGTCGCACTCCCGACTTGCGTGTACAGAAATCACGCTGATACCCACACTAGCACCATCGTTCGCAGCTCATGCCGCACTTGGTCGCATGAACAAGGTTTGTCATAGAGCACCTTTTGCCGCATCTGATGTTGGGCACGAACCTGACAGCGGCTGTCGCGGCCATTGCTCTAATAGGCTGCGAGCTTGGGGGCCACTGCTGTAAGTTATGCAGATAGACTGGGGCTTCTGCCCAAAATCTCAACATCCAGCCAGGATGCGAAAAGATGAAGGCAATTGACTGACAACAACCACCAGGATGACTCCCCTTGCATGCCCAAAGATGTTACACCACCACGAAAACAACATGTTGTGGATGGTGGTGACGAGAAGTAGTCAGGCCGTTGGGCGATTATCCTGCATTATTCCTGGACCCCCTCACCTGAAGGCCCCGGATTGCCCCTTCAATCTAAACACTGGCGATTATGACATGACCCCCTGAGTAGTAACTACTCGGCCCGATTGCACAAATCATGTCATCGTAGAAACTTGTGTGTTTTCAGGGTGGGTTGCTTCTAGGAAGTTCACAGCAAGCATGGATGCCTCGTTGCTTTGCAGATTGCTTTGGGCCTAAAAAGACTTTACCGTGCAGCACTTCAGAGGTGGGGCAGGGTTCCAGCTCTCCTGCGATGTAAATTCGGCTTTTACAGACGTTTTGGTTGCTGCCGTGTTGAGCGCAAGAAACTGTGATGGTGGTCAATGATTTGCACGTTTACATCTGTTGAGCCGCCTTCTGCGACAGCGGATTTTAAGCAAGTCGAAAATTGTTGGGCGCTGGGCCGTTGTGCAGCTGGTACACTTGATCAGTTGATCTGGCTATGAAAAAGTGAAGCTATCCCCGCCTTCTTTTGTCCTGCATGGAAGGTGTCAAATCATCACGCACAAGAGGCTAACCCCGAACAGAAGGAGGCTAGACCTGACGTCAGCCTCACCTGGAAGGCGGCTCTGCTTGGATGCAGTCAAATCACAAGACCCAGCTTGATGCGACAGGGCAGCAGCAAGCGCTTGTTCGAGGTTTCAGGTGGCATGTCCTCGACACCTCAGGCCTTGAAGCGAGTGGCCTTGCTGTTGACCTGAGTTTGGGTTGCGCAGGTCCTTAGCAAGTAGGCTCTTGGCTGTAGACACGCACACATCAATCTGAAACAATGATGTTGAGATTCTTCGTTCGTGCATCGTCACTGTTTGTTGGCAGTTGGCGCTGAGGCACACTGGAAATATCCAGGTCCCAAGCACCTCACCGGCAAGGTCGGACCGGCTCGCTGGGTCCCTCACATGGTTTGCAAAACGGTTACACAGACAGTAATTCCAATGATCTCTTCTGCTGGATTTTTTTCTCGCCTTATGAGCGATTACTGTATCTTGCATGTTACCACATGATTCGATACATGCTGTGCATGCAGTTGATCTCGATGAGAGAGGTGGGCACCAACTGAATCCCTGTAACCTCGAATCCGTTGAATGGTTCCATGGCATGCAGCCCATGGTTTTGCTTGTATTTGATAGCACCTCGTAGGCTGAAGTGGAAGGGTGTCAAAGAATGTTCGGAGAGTTTCCGGCCGTCTGCATTTCAAGGTTTGTTCGTCGCCTGAAGAATTTGTATGCTAGGCTCGTTTGGTTTGGGGTTACAGAGCCAGAGACCTGAAGCCAGTTTTGCCACAGCTACAGTGCTCTCGGAGCCCTACACAGCCTGGAGCACTGCATTTACGATGCTTTACTGCAGGTACAGCCAGCCCTCTTAGAGACCCAGCTTCAAAACCATTAAAAGCACAAATGATGCAGATCATATTAGAGCCGCCGCGGGCGGAGATCAAGAGCACAGGTCGAGGATTCACGGCCGCAGAGCAGGTCCCAAACCAATGCATATTGCTCGCTTTCTTGTTCCTGATCCTCTCCGGGATACGGAGTGCATGCCACACATGCCCCAATGCTGCCAGACTCCGGAACTGCGGCACGTACCTCCGCGCGAGTAAGAAGAAACAGTCGAGGAAAAGAAGCGTCTTAGTCGGGGAGCACCGGGATCAAAGTCCGGAGGAAACTTCCCACGACATGACCCCGGCTTGTTCTTCATTCTTCAGATGGTGTACCAGTGTACCGCAGTTTGCACCGCAAAAGAAATCCGTCTGCACCGCATTAACCACCCAAAGTCCTGCAATTTCTGAACACGTCGGACAGGAACAGCACCGTCGTGCTTTGGGACATGTGACGTGGTTGCACCTTGAGTTGGATCCAGTGGCAGATGTCACGCGAGCGTGCCAAGAGAAAATACTACTAGAGTTGGGGAGGAGGATGGTTGCAGGTTGGAATCCTGCAAGCAGTACTTACACCTGCTTTCGAGAGCGGCCCTCGTCATGGTCCACAGCTCCGCATTCCATCTGGCATGAAGAGATGCAGTTGAATCTGGAAGACTCAGCTTTCTATCGCTTTGGACTGCGGCATTGCGCTTTTCAGGCTGCACATGTCGCTACTGTGTAGGGGGGTCGTCCTGAACCGTTGTCTGTATATGTTAATATCTACGAACCACGACATGATGGTGGTGCTCTGATCGCGTGAGCTCTCTCCGGAAGACGCTTGAAGCTGGCAACTTCATCAGGTCATGATCCATGTGCTGATGCCTCGCCTGAGTCTCATAGCCACTCTTGGCATCTTGCTCGCGTCCATTCTGAAGGACCAAATTTGCCTGATAGGAAGACGCAGATGCTTTGTACCCAGTCGCCTCACTATTTGTACCCTGCTTTCATTGTTGTCACTTCTCAGGTGCGATTGAGTGCCTTGCCCGCTGCCGTTGCTGCTAATGTTGTTAGTAGCTGCTACCTTGGGCTTCGTGAGCTTCGGACACTCTTGCGTCTGCCGTACATTGACATGAACAGGGAAGCGACTCCGGAGATCATCAGACCAGCAAGCTTTAGCAAACCAGGTGTTTTGTGAGCATCCCGCCAGAGTGCCACACTTCCGCAGGAGGATGGGCCATCATTTCTTCTCGATCCGTCCTTTTGGGTAGCACTGGCTGCCCAAGCTCCTCGCACTGAGAGCCAGTTCTCGCGCCAATCCCTGGCCATGGTCTGTCCCCTCAGCACCTTCAGGTCACCTTCTTCTTTGCTGCCGGATGTGCTGGCGAACCTACAGGAGACTGGGTTGCCACAAACTGGATGCGGGTTGGACACATAACCGGTACAACCAGCTGTCTTCGTCGCTATGAGAACTTTCGCACGGTTCGCAATTTGGGTTTAGACGTTCTCTTTATTGCCGAGAGTCGAGTCTGTAAAACGCCCCGCCAGGGCAACTGCTGGACTTGATGGCATTCGTCTCATACTTCTTCCAAGTCCTCTTGATGTCACTGCCGGGATTTCTGCTGAACCAGCCGGCCCAGACATATCGGGCCGTCGGGTTGCATGTGGCTCATGTGAGGCTTGCGTGAGACCCTGCCTGCCAGGACCGTGTAGTCAGTCTGCGTTCGCATGTGCGGCAGCAACGGCATTTTGTATCATGCGCAGCCAAGTTCTTGCTGCAACTGGCTGGGACCTTGTTCCTGCTCGATGAGCAGAGCCTTGGCGGAGACATTCACGCTTGTCGATCGTTGACAAGTCCGGTCCCACAGACCGCAAGTCCGCAAAGACAGTCCTATCAAGTAGAGGAGCGAATGTTGTCGATGAGTGAAAGCAACATGCAATCTTCTTGGACAGTGGCCCTGCAACTTGTTGTTGTTGGAGTTTGGCTAGAGCCGGCACAAGTTTTTTTTGACATATGATTCGACGGGCCGATCCATTGCCATCAAATCCGGAATCCGCAAGGCGCGCTGCAATCCTGGCTTTCTCCACCTATACTGTGCCCCTCCTCCTGGCAGTGGCGTCCGGATCGAGCACAGAGCCTTCTCTCATTGGCTTTCACCGACTACCGGGCTTTGCTAGGTGTCGTTACAAGCTGCAACTGAGCCCAAGAGGCGTTCATAAACGTGCCGGACTAGGACGAGCGCAATGGTTCGACATCGCATGCATCCGGTGTTTAGGACCCAGGTCTTACGAGGTTTGTAATACGAGGTAAGCCCGAAGCCCTGTTCAATGAAGCTTGTGAGGCACCCATGAGTTTGTTTTCGAAGGTAGCATGGCGTGAGGCCTTCACAACGAAACGTAAATCCAAGCCTCGACCTGGAACCTAAACCCTTCCTCAACATGCATGCCCGCCATGCGGGAAATAGGAGGCGGAAAAGACGCTGAGGTGTGAACACTAGATCCCAGCAACGAGATTTTTGAGTGCAGCAACCCAGCACATCAGCAACTTGAGTCCTAGCATGCGGGGACCAGAACTTGTGCTCAGCCTTTAGATCGCATCTGATGGTGTGTAAGGAGCTGTTTCTGAATACCATTTGGGCAGATGTTTTGCTGACGCTGGGCCTTCTGTTGCTGCTCAGCACGATCAGCGGTGCACTACAGCTGAACTCTGGCCCTGTTCTCGCTGACCCTTCGCTGCGTGACGAGCTGGCACTGGCGGAAGCCCGCAGAAGCATCATGGCCGTCATTACGGATGGAGAAATGGTCTTGAAGGATGACAAGATTATGCAAGCTGGGCAGCGTACCCGCCATTACCTTGAGGGCCTCCTCGGAAAGAATGAGGTGGGAGAGTGTTTGACAGGGGCAGGGTTTCCAAGCAGCGGTTTGGCCGAGGGGCCAATGACTTTCAGGTTTTGTGCCGTTCTGGTGCTTGTTGTCAGTTGTTTATCAAGAAAGGGTTTTTATTTTGCTTTGACCATTGTCGCCATGAAGCTACCAGGTGGAAGTGGGAGGCCTTCTGCTACAGGACAGGGTTCCCTGTTTCCGGATGCAGTAGGATCAAGGGGGTTCTACCAAGATCACATGCGCTGTGAAGAGGCTTCGTGATGTTTCACGATGCTGATGCTTCGAGACGTAGCGCTTCCAGGATCTCCTGCATCCCATGGAGGTACGTCAAGTTCCCTCGCTCCATGAATCGAAATTAGAAAGGCTTTTCCTCTTGGAATACACTATGGGCTTCTTATGTTCAGGTAGAGACATGTAAAGACTTGGTTCGTGTTCACTGGGCGGAGCGTTCGATTCGCACGAGGATGGTCTGCCAAGTAATCGCTTCCTCCATTAAACCCCCGCTAATATAGAAACACCGTGCCCCCGGAATTTGGCGGTGTCAGGCACACAATTGAAAGATATTGAAAGTCAATTTACAACATGAGGGGGGGGCCTAGGATTGCATTAGTTTTAATAGAGCCAAGGGCCAAGACTACAAATCGAAAGGACCAGAGCTTTAGGGTTTAGGGCTGACTGTCTGCTCGACAGCCGGAACGGCTGCCTAGAAACGGTTGTTGTTTACTTGTCTGATCTTGTCTGTCTGGCTCAATACTGATTACTGTCAATCCGACTCATACCCAGATGCCCCTAAACCCACCCTACTATTAAAACAGAGGGGAAATTAGTTTTTATACTAGGGGGACGTGGGGGGGGAGCGTTTTAATATTAGGGTGAAACGATTACCTCTGTGGTTGTTAGGTGCTTGGGGGGAAGCAGGTCCTGAGTCGCACGTGGAAGGTTCGCCAATCGCTGTCTCGGGGTACGTGGAGGCGTGCATTTTGGTCGTCAGGGGGGAGGTTTTTTCGTGCGTACCTCCGAATCCCGCCAATACATGCATCGAAGGTTTGTTCCAGTGCTGTAGTCGGAGGTTTTTGGGTGGTGTTCTACTGGAGGTTTCCTGCTGATCTCATGGTGGTGGCCCGGTGGTTCCGCCCTGGAGTCCCCAGTTCCTGAGTCTCCCAGTGACCCCCCTCTATCCTGCTCGTCGTCGCCGTTGTCGCTGTAAGGGATCTACGCTGGCATAACGACTGTTGTGAAGCAAAGCTCCTGAAAGCTCTCAGGATTTGCCCCAGCCTGAAAGATAACAGCAGTCCGGCATCGAGTTTTCATGTCCGGCTTCGGGATGGTCGCCAAGCTCAGCTCTACACTTGCGCCATTCAAACGACTGGCGACTCTGATGTGCGATGGCTTGCCTGCATACGCGATGACGGGTTTGAGGCCGGATAATGCCTGATACAGTCGGACAGAGCATGGTTTGACCATGTGGGCCAACCGAAGTAATTATAAATCCTACGACTTAGCTGTCTCTATCGCGTGCAAAGTGCGGCCGCAAAATATGATCCCGACGGGGACACAGTCGGCCAAGTTTCGTCAGCTTGCTTGGACACGGAACCTCCGGTTTCGTATGTGAGGTGGGCCATCTCGGGGAAGCTACAGCTACTGCACCAAGGGCAAGCGGAAACGATGAGCTGTCATGGCTCTATGACTCTATGACATACATGAACAGCCCTTTGCCTAGCAGTGTTAGCTGGTGCAGGTGACCGGAGCAGCCCCGGGAAGTTCTCCAAATCCGGGTCAAGCAGAATCCATCTCAGACTTCGGGGACTCGCGCCCTCCTTCCGAGCCTTCGGCATCAGGCAGATGAAGTGAAACTTCCGTTTTTAATTACGTTAAGTCGTGGCAGGCAGGCACTGCAAGTGCAGGAGGGAGGCGTACCTGCCTTAAAGCCATACTGTGACATTGGTACCGGATACTACTGCGGAGTTCTTCTGCAGAAGCTTCATCAGCCGATATCATAAGTCCAATTTCCCGCATTTTAAGCATTTTGTTGCATGAGGCTACAGAAATGCACCGTCTCTTTCAGATTGGGACTGAGTGTCGTGTCTTCCGTCGAACGTGCACAGCTGTACTGACAGGCACAGTCACATTGGCGAGCCAGCGGCAAGAGCTGGCGCTACCAGAACTTGAACTCCGGCGATCTGTTGAGCATTGGGAGGGGGTACCAAATCCGGATACTGTGAGACTCTGGGGCTGAGACACAAACGCAAGTGGAACGTGCATGTGTGAAAAGTGAAGCTCGCATCGACAACTCATGCTTTCCGCTTCAAGTTTGTGTTCTTTTGCCATGCATTTGTTGCAATCCATCCCTCCTCGTTTCCGGAGCATCGAGAAGCCTTGTTCAGCCTGCAAAACTTCTGGTGCCACGGGTTGCGGATAAAGGAAGTGGGGATGAAAGGACCGAGGCAGATGGGTCGCAGAGCTTAGCCTTCCTGCTGTTTCTTAAGCTGAGGAGAGCATCGGCTTCACGTTGGACATCTATGCTGAGGAGCTGACGATGTTGCAGGCCTGGATGCATTTCACAGTTTTGGGAGTTCTGTTATAGGGGCATTTCAGAGGCTTGAGGACCTCGACCGCACGGGAGCGCTCAAACAGGCCATGTTTGTTTCCGGCAAGCGGGCTGTAGTATTTGGAGCGCCATTTTGGGGGAATCGAACGGGAGATGGATTCGCGACGAGAGTCGCTGCATTCCAAGTTGGTCTCCTTCCGGGGCTTTCGGCTTCTTGAGGGTTCCACATGGGGTTGCTTGCAGCAAGCGCGACACGAAGACAGATTGGTGGCTCAGGTGAAACTCAACTTCAACATCTCTGACCTTGCGCACATCGATACAGGTCGCTTGCCCACCATGCACCTCGGTGTGCACTTTTGGCAAGGTTGGGGGGCCGCTGGTGAGGCGTGGAGGCTGGCGAAGTCTTGGACTGGCAGGGTTGCAAAAGTATCAGGAAGGACTCTTGGCTGACACTCGTCGTGAACCTGGAAGATCGTACGAAAGCAGCCGCAACCATCGCCAAGGCTGCCAGGGATATCCAGGGATGGGTTTGTGACGGTTGGTACCTATTCATAGCGTAGCTGTCGAAAAACCGACAAGCGCCCGAATCTCGAGGAAGAGATGGCTGGTCCAGAAGTCTGTGGACAGCTTCCGCGAGTGGTTGATTGATCAAGTGCAAGCAGCATCTCGGCGATTGAAATTGTGTTCTGGGATGGAGAGAGAGAGAGAGAGAGAGAGAGAGAGAGAGAGAGAGAGAGAGAGAGAGAGATTGCGGACCGTTGTGGGGGTAGGCCCTCGGGCCAGGGTCCTTTCAGGGCCCAAACCCCTCAGCAAGCAAGAGAGAGAGATAGATATATATGGTCAGGCGTCTGGCGTTCCCAGCCCCCCCCCAATGGTATGGTCTGCTAGGGCTGCTAGGGGTGGGGGGGGGGGGGGGGGCTGGCGTGTGCGGAAAGGGGTCGGGGCCGGAGCTGCCACTGTATGGTGGGATGGTGTTGGGGGCCAGGGCTCACACGCAAGCCCTTCGCAAGCAAGCCGTAAACCCTATAACGCAGCGCCTGCCCCTGATTTTGAGTAACCTTAACTTGTACTTCAAACCCTAAACCCCACCTAGCTGCAGGCTCTAAGCCTAAAGCAGAACATGCGCCGCAAATCCTCCTTAAGCCCTTGTCGACTCGAAGCGTTATACCTTGTAACCGTAAACCCAACACTCAAAAGCTTAAGCTAAACCCTCAACCCCAAAACCGATGGGTACTGCATGAGGACAGTCGGACCAATGCGGTGGGCGAAGGTGCAGGAAACTCTAGCCAGTATGGGTTAGCATTGTGTGGTGGGTGGTGAATCCCGTCGTAAAGTACCTGTCGCCCACAAGCTCCCTCAACCGGTACGGTAGTCTGAAGGCTTCGGTTAAAAGACACGAGGGTTCAAAAAAAAAAACGAGTGTGAGCGCCGAAACCCCAAAACCCCACCACCACCCCACAGGGGGAAGAGGGACCCCACACCACAGGGTAGCCTTGTATCCGGACCATTGACCTTCGGGGGGGAGGGGGGGGCCGCGGAGCGCGTGACCATCCATATATATATATATATATATATATATGTATATGTAATATAAATTCATATAGATCCCCGTCGAAGGCTCCTTGATTCGTTTTGCACCGTCCAAGTGTGTGCTCCAACGCCAGGACCTGGCCGGAGCTCCCACGGTGGCATTTCCCGGCTCCTTTGAGCTCCATTGCCCGGGCAGCAACGGTGGCACGCTGCGGGCCGCTGGGATCCGTTGAATCAGTGAAGGTCTTCAGCACACCACAGACTAGGGTTTAGAGCACAGGCGATTCTACGCGATGCACGTGCTGTAGATGGTTCCGGCTGTTCGGCACGCTGTCAGTCTCGACTGTAGCTCGGTTCTTCCCACAGTCCCGCACCGGCCGCGTCCGTCAGGGGCACCGAACACGCCTTGGCGCTCCGGTTCCACTCCCACCACGGTCTCGTGCTCATGATCGTTTTGGGATCGTCCGAAGTCGCTAAAGTCTCAGCAGGCAACACTCTTCGGCTGCTCGGAGCATTGCGGTGTGCGACTCGTCTTCCTGCCAGAGTCCCCTTCGTTTCCGCCTTCCGAAATTGTGCTGCTCCCGCAGCAGCACGAGTCGTGGTTCCAAAATGGTTTTCCTGCCAGAGCCGACCGTGTCTTGAGCAGTTTGGACTCATGACGTAGTCTTGCAAGCCTCCGGTTGCTCCCGGAATGATTCTGCGGGGGCATTCAAGGCTTGCACTCCTACGTGTCGTGGTTCAGCGTTTTGGGTAGACTCGAGGTGTGTTTTTGCGATTTGCGTCATCGCAGTCGTTGCTGTTGCTGGTCTGGCGTTCTTGTTGGTGGGGCATGCACAGAGCAATTTGGACGGATGCTTGTGCAGGCCAGCGCAGGGTCTTGTCAAAGTCTGTGTACTGCTGTCACAGTATAACGAACATGTGTAGCAGCAGTCACTGCAGCAGTCACTAGTAGTACTGCAGGCAACAGTCAGTAGCACTAACGCTAGCACTTCCGCCAACCGAAGCACCAGCAGGAGCGGTAGCAGTAGCAGCAATATCAACACTAGCTCACAACCAGAAGTGTTTGTAGGGATCGTGCCTGTGGTTGTGGCAGCGGTAGTCGGGGCATCAGCAGCTTCGGCAGCAGCAGCGCTATCCTCATCCATGATCAACGCCTGCCAGAGCGAGTCAAGCGGGGCAGCTGCAAATGAAGAGTGTTCCGAGGCAAGTGACGTGGCAGTCACCAAGATGCACGCGACCAGCGATGTGGCGCAGGCATCTGCAACACCACAAGAAGCCGAGCAACCGAAGGCGGCAGGAGCTTCTCCACATGAAAGCCCAAGGATGGAAGCCCAGAGACCCGCTGAGAGCTTTGACTGAAGAGAAGCATACCCGGCATGCCCTGAAGTTCGTCGCCCTTGCTAGCAAGTTCGCTGTCGTGTATCGCTCTGGCTCATGCCAAGGACAGGCGCAGCGACTACGTCTGGGGAAGCTGGAGTAGAAGCATACAAGCAGGATTTGGATTGTTTTCTGGTCCACATTGAGTGCAAGAACATCACGCAGCGGCTCGGACAGCTTCAGTGGGCAGTTTGGCACATCATGGGTTATGACCTAAAGTCGCAGCAGCGTGTGCTCCGATGCGTGTAGTGATGTTCTTGAAGTGATAGCAATCGGTAGTGCGCAGTTCGTTTTGCAAAAAGCGATGTCAGCATGCATCAGCCGGATTCCGCCGATGCCAGTGTAGCACGTCCAATAATCTCATGGAAGTCATCGAAGGTGTGCTCCGGAACTGAGAAGGAGAAGCAAATCCAGGAGGTCACGGCAGACCAGTCAGAGCAGCAGCTGAGTCGCCAAAAAGCCGCGGGTCGTACGGGAGACTCTCCGACAAATGAACTCCAGATGCATGAAACCTTGGGGTATGCTTCGATGCTAGACTCTAGACTGAACCGCTACATCTTTCCTCTTGCTCCTTGCACGGACTGGAGCCGAAACACTGTGTGGTTTCAGGCCAAGTGAAGGTGCTCGACACGGAGGTGTTTTCCCAGCGTGAGGCACCCGCCGACATGGAGCCATAGCAGCCGATGCAGTAGGTGATTGCCTCAATCTAGTTCATCGTGGCCTTTCGGTTTCTTTGTGCTTGGTTGCGTTTGCATGGTGTTCTTATGACGTTTCAGCTGGTTACATCCCGCGATGAATGCCTGGTGCGTCTGAAACAGGAGAAGTCTCGCCTGTGGACTCAGCCTTTGCCTTGTGTGCGCCGGGTCGGGAGAGGCATCTGTGACAATTGAACATGGAAATCGTGGGGTCTAGGAAACTTGCTGTTTGTCTGGCATTTGTGTACACGGTAAGGCAGTGAATGTTTGAGAGAGTTCAGTGTGTCCAGCTTGACATTCAGCCCTTCGCTGTGCTTTTGCACATCCCAAACCAGACCTGTCAGCATCACCTAGAAGCCCGAGGCTAGAAACCGAGATCCAGCGGCTTGAGTGCTGGCCTTACATAGATGCAGGGCCGAAACTCGAAAACTACATTCACATGAGCATCATGTTAACAAGCATGCTGTTCCTGCACACTTCTCTTAGCTTCGGCAGCACTTGTTTGATTTTGATGTCCAAACATGCCCTATAGCTGACTCACCGGCATGCCTGTCCAAACTGGCTGAAGTCACACGCTTTGAAGAATTCCCAGATCCTTGCTCTCCTCACCCGCGGGATCCACAGAGCATATTTCCCGAGAGCCAGTCGTTCCTCCAGCGGGCTCCAAGGAAAGATGCTGTAGCTGCAGGGGAACCGTTTCTGTGCAAGGGGCGATTCATGGCTACGTTGACGGAGAAGAAAGATGCTATGGCTATGGATGACACACCTCGGAGGTGGCAACTTGATGGCTCGGAGTCTCAGATGGAAAAAGTCCTGTTCAAAGCAGACGAGGACACGGCTTCAGAATACCTGAAGGACCTGATCAGCTCTGTCGGCCTAAAGGATGCCTGGGGTGAGATGGCCAAGAGGTTCCGTTCCGTGCAAGCGCAGCATGCCCAGCTCATGTCCCTGGCAAGCCGAGATGCTTTGAATCGGGATTTTGTAACAAGGCCGGAGTTCAGGCTCACAGTGCAGGAGGAGCACTACCGGAAGCTGCAGGACCACACGAAACGTCTGGCAGATCTGGAGCAAAAAGTGCAAGAAGAGCAGGCAAAGAGGTTGGAGCTTACGGAGGCCTTGCAAGAATGCGCAGAGAGAACCGACCAGGAGCTCAAGACCTTGAAGCCAGAGGTTACCAAAGCCCATGCCTGGCTCCGGACGCTGGATCAAAGGTGCCAGGAGCAGAACACGGCAAACCTGAAAGCCTTTGAGGATTTGCAGGAGCAGCTCAACAGCCGTGAGAAGAAGCTTCGAGAAGAGGCAACGAAGCTTTCGAAAGCCCTCGAGGCCGAGGTTGTGGAACGCAAGGTTTTGGGCATCGAAGTCAAGAAACAGAAAGAGTTCCTGGCAGGAGAAGCATTCCAAAAGCACATGGAGGATACCTGTAACAAAGCACTGGCGAACTATGTTCACAGGGATGTGATGATGTCAGAGGTTCAGAGCTCCACGGAACACATGTGTCAGCCTCTACATGTTCTCATACGCAAGCTGGAGAAGACTGTGCAGACCTTGGCCCAAGAGCTGCGAATGAAGGATGCGTACCTGGAGCAATGCCTTGAGAACGAAGCTGCCAAGCTGTCTCACAAGGACGAGCTCCTGAACGAGCGTATAGACGCCGTGGTGGACGAGCTGCCTGAGAAGGCTACCGTCGTGTCCGTGGACGATGTGAAAGGCAAGCTCTTGTTTCATGTGGACAACCTGGAATCGCTGCACACGCGATTGCAGAAAGAGGCCACGCACAAGCTCCAGGAGGTGGTCACCCGCGTCTCTGAGTTCCAAGTGATCCTCCAGGACCATGAGCATGCGCTGCAGCATGCTGCCGAGGAGATCCTCCATCGTGGGACCAAGCTCCTTGGCAGAATGGTCGAATGTAGGATCTTTGTTTTCTTGTGCAGGATGCCTGCTGCTTCCATGAGGTACGATGTAGCGGTATTGACCGAGCGAGTGGATCGTTGTGCTGGCAAAGACAAGATGGAGGGTGACCTGAAAGAGATCCGTGACACATTGACATGGCAGAGCACCAAGAGCCCTCGATGCACATAGGTTTCCGCCGGACATGTTGGAGGATCCTTGAGAGGCTTGGCGTAGGGAATGCCTATCTTCATTGAAAAAAGAAAGAGGCCGGCAGAGATTTTGCCTACACTTCTCCAGTATTTTTCTTGATTAACATGGGACGAGAAGGGGGCTGCAGCAGATAGAGCTCCGTGGACAGCTCATAGTACCTCCTTTATGTCCCTTGGATAAACTACCCGGCTACGCCACGGGTTTGGGGTCGTTTTTGACGGATAACTGATGATGAGAATCAGCGCCACGCTTCTCAAGGATCGAGTCCATGCAGTTCCAGAACGGACTGGGCGCCCTGGTGTAAAGAACGATGTTTCATGATGTGGTGTTTACAACAGGATTTGGCATTCATGAGAAGCTGTGCTTGTTTTTGTGCCACCACGGTCTCCTTCAAGGGTCAGTACCTCTAGCTACACTACCCCAGCCTTGTCCTTTAGGATCATGCTGGAGAAAGATGGCAGAGGTGCAGGTCAGAGTGTAAGGCAACTTACCGAGATTCGAGAAAGTCGAAGCCTTTTACAGTATCTGCTTTGATAGAGAGAGGGAGAGAGAGAGAGAGAGAGAGAGAGAGAGAGAGAGAGAGAGAGGGGGGGCCTACAAGGCCGAGGGGTTTCGAAACCCCCCCCGTGCCCCGGGGAAGAAGAGAGAGAGAGACAGACCGGAAAGTTGCCAGGATGGCAAGGGACTGGGGAGGGGGGCCGTGCTGGATCATCAAACTCGATCTGGCAAAAGCCTTTGACTCAGTCGCGCAGACAAGTCTTGTAGACCTAGTCGAACGACGAATGGGAGCTGATCATCCATGGGAGGCTCGGCTTTGGATGGCGTTACTGCAGGCAAGGGGGGTGACAGTGGCGGCAGGGGGGACCGAAACCACAGTACCCCAGACGAATGGTGTTCGCCAGGGTTCGCCCGACTCACCTGTGCTCTTTTCGGCACGCGTGGGGGAGTGCCTCGTCAACACCCTCGCCCAGACGCAATCTGACCCACGGGGAGGCAATGAGCCACGATTACCCCCACCCCCCCATCATGGGGGGAGTTTTATGGATGACACATACCTGTGGGGCGAAAACCACGAACACTTGCAACGCACCCTTGACATACTGCAACAACTCTTGCTCGAACACGGGCTGAGGATCAACCCCAAGAAGACAAAGATCATCTGCAGCACAGATGACCCCCGCAGGTTCCACATCGACGGGGAGTGGGTGACACCAGACACGGGGGATGCAGCGTTGACGGTGCTCGGATCACCGGTCAGCTTCCAAGGGGGACCACCTCAACTTGCAGCCGAGATGGGGACAAGAGCAAGGAAGGCGTGGGGGAAGAACAAAGCACTCCTCACAGCCAAAACCAAGCTCAAGCAACGCTTGCAGCTCCACAGCATCCTAGTGCGCCAGAGCGCGCTCTGGGCAGCCGAGACGTGGCCAGTACAAGACACACTCCTACGAGCAGCCAATGTCCAGCAGTTGCAGCATGTGCGCAGCATGGTGGGGGGAGCGCGCGCACCGGGGGAGGCATGGGCAGACTGGAACAAACGGAGCCTTCGCATGGCCAGAGTGCACCTCCACAAGAACAAGGTGGAAAGGTGGTCTACCTACATATTACGCATGATTTGGGGAGTATGGGGGCATGTGGCGCGCGCACAGGATGTCACCTACGAGATGCTAATATGGAGGGGGATGGACTGGTGGTGGCAACAACAAGCCCTGCCCGACACGGTAGGAGCAAGACACGCCAGCAGATTCAACAGCAGCCTGGATACGGAACGACATATTGCAGCTGTCGCAGGAGCCAGATGGGGGGAGATAGCCAGGGACCGCCTTGCATGGGAAGCCCTCGAAGAAAGGTTCGTCGAAGCGCATGACCCGCCCTGGTGCTCGGGGAAGCAAGCACAACTCCAGAACTTAGCACAAACCAGACAAGATGGAAGACGCGCTAAAGCAATCAAACAACGCAGACAGGCCAGAAGGGCAGCCAACAGACTGCTCGACTAGCCACAGTGAAGGCCCCAGCCTGAGAAGGCTATGAGCAGACACTGCCAGCACCTTTCGCAGCCAGAATTACAGGGGGAGCAGCCGTTTGCTAGCGACCCACTGCAACACACAACACAATCAACTCATTCCTGCCTCTCCCTCCGCCTCTTCCGTCCTTCTTCTCCTTCCTGTTGTCTGCAAGAGCAAGAGCGAGAGGGAGCAGGGCATGGTTTTTCATGTTACGCGTTTTTCTGCAGCTTGCCACATGTTCACAGTTGAGCATGCAGTTACTGACAGTCTGTGCAGCAGCCGGGGGAGACCCGAACACCATCCTGGCCGACCGCCGCAGTCAGGCCCGAGCCTCAGCCAAGTTAGTGTCACCGCTAGCCTCGCAGGGCAATGGCACCCAAAGCAGCCAAAGCTAGCCGAGGGAGGCTGGCACTGCTAGCACTTGTGAGCTACATGCTCACCAACTTCGTGGCGAGAGCGGCACCACGGGGAGCAGCACCCGATGGCCCAACCGGCAGCAGAAAGAGGAGCAACGAGGATGGGGCAGCCACAAGCAGGAGGGACAAGCGTTCCCACCACAACACAGCCACCGCCACCCCCACCCGAATCCCTCACGGGGTGGCCAGCAGGCACGACGTGGACACACACTGCAGCAGGTTGGATTCCCAACCTACCAGAAGAGGAGCTTGAATTCGAAGTCTGGCAGCACAGCAGCCTCACACAGCCGCCGCCAGTACCACAGACAGGCAGCGAACAACCAATGGAAGGACAGGGGAGCAGCGGCAGCAACGACTACGGCCAGAACTATGAATACGCCAATGGCTGGGGGCAGCAGTGGACGGAACCAGCATCTAGCACCACCTGGTCTGGCTGGGTGCATGGAGCCGACGGAGGGAGGTTCGCACTGGGCTACGACCCGGACCACGACCCTTGGCACCAAGACACAGAACCCCCGCAAGCACAGCCACAGCCGAGTGCAAGCTGCCACCCACCGCCACAGCAACCACTGCCAAAGCCAACGACGGCAGCCGAGGACGCAACCGAGACAACACTGCCACGACCCACTACCGGGGGAGTGCCCCCCCAACAACCACTGCCACAACCACAACGACTCAGCAGCGTGGACCGGACCACAGACACCGCAACCAGCTCCACAGACCAAGACCACGACCCCACATGTACGGCAACACAAAGGGGGGCAACTTGCGCCGACCCGACTACAAGCAACCAGCCCGCTGACCAAGCAGGGGGACCGGCACCAAAGCCTCCACAGCCACACGAAGAACTGTAACATGCCCCCGAGCGGGGAAGCCCAACAGCAGACACGGGGGAAGGCACCACAAGCCAACAGCGGGGGACACCCCAGCACGAAGGACAAGGAGATCAACGCAGAGGAAATAAATGGCAAAAAGGAGCAATAAAAAAGGAATTCAAGAAGAGGGGGCTGGTGAAACCAGCTGGTGCGACCTGGAACTCAGTTGCCCACCTCGTGGGAATGCAAGCCTTTGGCGAAGAAGAAGACGAAGACGACGAAGCAGAGGAGCCAGAGCACCCGGCAGAAGCACCAGCAACCACTGCAGCGGAGCCCTCCCAGCGGGGGAGCAAACAAGAAACCGAAGCGGAACGAAGACACAGAGAAAGCAGAGAGCAGTTCAGCCGACTACTCAGCCAGGCCGACCGGCCGTGGCAACCACACCCACCACACCAACAAATACCCACAGCCACCACTGACACACAGCCACCGCCACGACATGCAGACCCAGCGGGGAGGGAGCCAGAAGCTCAGCAGGGTGAGGACAACAAGCAGAGCCCAGACACAACAGGAACCGCAGAGGCCTCCACAACCAGTGGAGGGGAGCCACGGCCCACAACAGCTACCGGCAGCGCAACCGCACACGCCCAAACACCGCAGCAAGTACAACCACAACAGCAGGGGCGCGCAGCCATTCCCAAAGCCACACCAGCAAGCCGTGACCACCAGAGCACCGCCACCACACCAACAGCACTGGACCCGCGATCAGCCGAAGCACGTGACACCCACAGCAGCCAGGAGGAGAGCAGCACTGCCACTATGACCAGTAGCTCGAGCAGTGGGAGCAGTAGCTCCAGCAGTGTCATGCCGCTCGACTCACCAATATCGTGGGTGACAGGGGGGAGCAGATACATCGGCTCCTGGGGGGGGTATCTCCCCCCAAGCTCGCTCCCTCCCGAGCTGCCGCTCAGCAGATTTGCCCATGCACACTTTAGGTACTTAGGAGCCGGAGGCTGGGCAGGAGCAGTGCTAGCCCGCACCTCGCCGTCGACACCAAGCTACAACGCAGCGCGCCTCAGGGGCTTTGCCAGGGTACGGCAAACAGCAGAAGGAGGCAGCGCAGGGAGACGCTCAGCATTGGGGCGCAGTTTGAATTGCACCCACTGGGGGGACACGGACCATGGCACCTCTTCATTCGAGCCACCCCACGTGTCCCGGAACCTGGCAGCCTCCGCTTGGGGCCAGGACACTACCGGATGACATGGCAACAAGGGGGGCAATGCTGGAAGATTGAAAAAATGGACCAAGACGACGGTGAGCTTCTGGCAAGGGCGAGGGGAGACGCCCAGGGAAGACCAGACCAGCTGAGCGCACACATGCAAGAACATGAACTGTCGCAGCTGGACAGGGACACAGCCGCCTTGGCAGCAATCAGGGGGGCAAGGCGCCTTGTGCAACTACCAGAGCTTGACCCGCACGCGCCCAGAGCGCACAGACAGCGAGCACTGCAGGAGAGCCAACAGCCGGGGGCACAACCCCTAATCTACCCGGGAGACGAGCACTGGGGAGAAGCCGCAGTGCACCCGTGGGCGACCCGCATGTTCCGAGGGGAGACAGCAGGCACAGCCACAGCCACAGCCACTGCGAGCCGAAGCAACACCCCTCAACACCCCACTTCAACCGAGCAGGGGGCTCAGCACCAACACCACAGTGCACAACAAGTGCAGAGCCAAAGCCACCCCACAGCCAATAGCGCACCACAGCAGCACCACCACAGTGCACAACAGGTGCAGAGCCAAAGCCACCCCACAGCCAATCGCGCACCACAGCAGCACCACCACAGTGCACAACAGGTGCAGAGCCAAGCCACCACCACTCCTCAGACACAGCCAGACGTCGCAGCAGCCGCAACAGTTACACCACAGTCACTGCCCCCCCCCACGCAGGGGGGAACAAACACACCACCAACAGAAGCAACTGAGGACCATACGCAGACCACTCCAGACACAGCGGCAGGACCAGAGACAAGCAACGCTACACATCCAGACGGCAAGCC